CAAGGCAAATAACGACATCATCTCACACAGGCTGGGAGGGAAAGGGGGAGGCGGGCAGGCAAACAAACAGTACAGAGCAAGTACTAGGGGAAGGCAGATAAAAAACGACGAAGGAAAAGGCATGTGACACCAAGCAACGACGAAGAGCAAGGGCTGGAGGGCACGGGGGAAAAGCGGGTGGACACACAACGACATAGGACAACAAGGCATAGGATGACCAGCAGCAACAAAGAGTAAAGGCTGGAAGGCACAGAGGAAGCAGGAGGGCAGACGACGCAAGAACATGAAATAGGCAAACCAAAAACATACAAGTCTGACGAAAAGGAAGACCGAAAAAAAATAAAAACTGATGATAACAAGATTGTTTCGTCGGAGTTGCACCGACTCATCAGGAGGCTGAACCTCTGACAATCTGCGGAATCCCCGTATTTGATGGTTTGGGTCATGAACCTTCTGACCCTTGTTGAAGGCAGACTGTCTCCAAGCGGAACATAGCAACGGGCAGCAACCCTGTGGAGCACCAGGCAACACAGTAGAGGTAACACGGCTGCACAACGCCAAAAGCGACTGCAAGGAATGACATGGCACGCAGGGCATGCAGCGCGGCAATCTTGTAGTGAAGCACAAGACAACCCAAGCAAGGCAACAGCACTGCAAGGGACGATAGGGTGAGCAGACCAGCAGCTCAGCAACCGTGGAGCGGAGCACAAGGCACCAGCAACAAGGCAACCAACCTACAGGGCACACCACCGACAAACACAGAAGGCACGGTCAGCGGATGAGCAGCACGGCAGCGGAGCAGCGAAGTGCAAGGCAACACCAACAGCACGGCCACACCGCACAGCGAACACAGCAATTCGCAGAAGTATAAGGTTCGATCAGCGTGCCGGCGGATCCACTTCTACCGGTCGACAACGCGTCGTGACGGTAGCTCACCATGTGTTTCTCCGTCGTTGCACTTTTTTTTTTTTTTCACCCTTTTTTTTCTTGCAAAGCGCCCAAAAAAAATGCCACTGTCGGGCTTTGGCAGTTTTCCTTGCTATGCGGTGTGGTGGGTGGGAGCGGGGAACGTTCTTGCTTCGATACCAGTGTGGCGAACCCACCAGGTGTGGTGCTCCACCTGGGATAGAGATGGAGATGGAGGATGATGGGGGAGCGAGATGGCACAGCGCAGCTCCCATGCTGGACTCCAGCACATGTACTCCAAAATCTGCCAATGTAGAATGATCTAAAAAACAGACAACAGCTGAGGTATACCCCAGCAGACTGACTGGACTGGACTGGACTGGCTGGTACCGACAGAGGTACAGGCCTGTGAGAACAGGCCAAGGGGATGGTCTCACAGGCCAACCAGAGGTCCGCTACAGGTTAGCATGGTGAAATCATTCAGACTTGGGCGCTTGCACGCACTCGCACACGCTTTGACGTTTAAACACCTGATAATTTGGAGAAAGTCTGCTGAAACAGTCTGGCACACTCATCCTCTTGTATGGAGTTGTGTATAGCACCACACCTACACGCTACCTCCTCATGAGTATGTGAAAGCCCAGCGAAACAGTCTGTCACAGCCATGCCTTTTTTTGTGGAGTTGCATATAGGAACAAACGTATTGGGCAGGACGCAGGGGGGGAGGGGGGGAGGGGGGGGAGAGAGATGGAGAGAGAGAGAGACTGTGTGTGTGTGTGTGTGTGTGTGTGTGTGTGTGTGTGTGTGTGTGTGTGTG